TTCCTGTGGGTGTTTTGAGAACGCAAACCAAGTGTTTGATAAAATGTATGTGAAGAATTTTACCTCATGGGCTGTCATGATTGCTGGTTATGTTGAAAATGGTAATTATAGAGAAGCAATTGGTCTGTTTATTGAAATGCTATGTGAAGAACATTTCGGAGATCCACATGATGACAAGATCAAGTTTGTAGTGTCTGGGATATTTGTTTGTGTCCTTAAGGCTTGTGCGAATACATTGGACTGGGAACTTGGGATGCAAATTCATGGCTGGCTATTGAAAATGGGGTTTTCAAGAAATGCAGTTTTGACTAGTTTCTTGATTAATTTTTATGGTAAATGTAAGTTTTCTGTAGGAGCTGAATTTTGCTTTGATCACGTTTATAGTCGAAATACTGCTGTTTGGACAGCTAGGATTACTAGTTTCTGTCGTGAAGATGAATATGAGGGAGCGGTCAATATTTTTAGGGAGATGGGGAGAGAAGGAGTGAGGAAGAACAGCTACACGTTTTCGAGTGTTCTGAAGGCTTGTGGTCAGATGGGGGATGGGGGATATTGTGGTAGACAAGTTCATGCTAATGTGATAAAAGTTGGAGCCGAATTCAACAGTTATGTGCAGTGTGCTTTGATTGACGTGTATGGGAGATGTGGTTTTGTGAAGGATGCATCAAGGGCTTTCGAGATAAGCGAAGAAGCAAGAACTGACGCCTGCTGGAATGCAATGCTTACTACTTTCATACAACATGGATTTTGCATTGAGGCCATTAAACTTCTTTACAAGATGAAGGCAGCTGGCTTGGTACCTCCTGAACCATTGTTTAATGAAGTGAAATCTATTTGTGGGAGTAGAATTCTTGAACAAGATTGATTAGACAAACTTGAAGGAAACTTCAGGTTGCTTCTGTTATGATATGAAGGCAGTTGGCTTGGCACCTCCTGAATCATTGTTTATTGCTTAATGAAGTGAATATTTGTGGGATCATAATTCTTGAACAAGATTGATCAGACAAACTCGTAGAAGCAGACTTCAGGTTGTTTCTGTAAGCTTCTCTTATGAGTCGGCTAACCTATCGGCTATCCCCTATGTATTCAACCACGTGGAGAGGGCTTCTATCAATAGCTGTGAAGCACACTATGCTCAGGCCACATTATGTCACTCAGTAACTGTTGCATTTATTTTTTTGTGCATTTCACGAGAGTCTGACAGCCAATTTTGGTGGGCTTCAAGGGGATCATCATATTCCAGGGATAATAAGCATTCGTTACACTGGTAAATAACTTGGATCTGTAAATGATTGAAGTGATAATGCATCCTGTCATCTATGTATCACGCTTAGTTCCCGTTTCATCTTTTTATCTATTGAGCATCTGCATGAATTTGTTCTATTACAGCATGCGTTTTTAATGTGCATTTCAATGTTGAATCCATGCTTTAATATGAACTTTTTTAGGATATTGCTGTAGTGCCTCTTTCAATGTGTTATCATCTGATAATGTAGCATACTTTGCCTTGAACTGAGACATGAAATTTTGATGCAGTAGCTTGATTGATAAAACGTTGGTTGTATTTTTTATTGAATATTGATGACTCATGTGAAACCTCTCTTGATCTTCATTCGATCGTTCATATGATGGATAATTGAATTTCAGATTGCTTGATGCTTTCTTTATTGGCAAATTATTATATATGTTATAACCTCCCGTTCCCAACCAAGCTCTGACGATGAATTTATGGGTGCTCTTGGGGGTTTATGGATAGATAGCGCATGAGAAGCTGATGCAAGTAATCTCAGTTGGATTTTAAATCAGTAAGTTCACTTGATTCCACCATTTCTTGCATGGATTGACGGAAGTGGATGAAGGGGTCCACAAAGTACGTTGGAACGACAATAGGGGAGTTGTGAATGAATGGTGAAAGTTAAGGCAGCGAATGGATTTTGTAAAATGAAATGTGTGAGGCCATGGTAGAAATTGAAGAATGAATATAGGTGAAAGTAAAGGAATAAGAAGAGAATTGTGTTTGGGTTGCTGGAAAATCCATGAATTTTAGTTGTATTTCTTGTTTGAGCATGCAAAGATAATATGAAATAATCAATTAATTGAGATTGATAAAGGAAGATTTGTTCCAAGACTCCATTTTTGGTTTTGAATTTTGATATGAAAACAATTCGTTACTTTGTTGAGCTTCTGTCATTTTTTATTTTTATTTTTTGAATTTATATTACTTCCTACTTATATAGTGTCAGTTCCCAAAATGAACTTATGTCTCATATTTAATTAATAGAAGTAAAATATAATCACAAAAACATGTAGAATAAAATCAATCACTCCTGA